TTATCTGGTCTTTTAAATGTACTGGAAAGTAAATTATGAATACAGGCACTGCCTGTTTCTATTGACAAGGTGAATTCAGGCTCAACGTGGTGATGTGAAACCAAAGTACGAAAGTCTGTAAGTGATGCTGATTATAAACCTCTCTGTCTGCTTTTACTTCCAAGCTGAGTAAATAAACCACACACAAAATGAATAAAAATTTGCAATTAATCAAAAATATTAACACATAAATCACTGAAGTGGTCCTTGGTGCATTTTGATATGGAAGCTAGGCAGCAGAGTTAGTAAGTTCTCGTATGAAATGAGGCCTTTGGGATAACAGTTTGTGCTTGGAAGCTTTTACATACCTGCTTTTCTCCTCTCCCTCCCCCTGTTCCACCCTCAGCTTGTGAACCAATTGGCTGACTACAGCCACATTCATCAAAGGAAGGGTGATCTCAAAAATAATTAATTTCCTGCAGATTTTGCTCCTCTGTATTGATGCCTGAAGAGCTACTTGTTATTCTGACAGTGTCTCCTGACAAGGTTATGCTGACCTGCCTTAAAAGAGACCTTGCTCTCCCTGTTAACAAATCATATTTAGAATGAGATGCTGGACATGTCAGATCTGGGCTTTTAGTGGTCCAACAGGAATGCTAAATGTGCTGCTTCATCATTAACTCATGACTGCAAAATGGGAATGGAGATATTATGTTATTTCAGCTAATCAAGTGCTGAAGCTTCCAAATGCCAGAAGCTTGGGCCAAACCGTAAGGGTGAAAAATACACATAATCAATAGGTATCTGAAAGATTAATCAGAAAGCATGAAGTCCTTAAATTCATTTGGTACCCAGCAAGCCAGCTCTTGCCAAAGAAAACACAATTTAGAGCGTGCCTGAATTAAAGAGGAAATTTGAGAAAATAACCTTATGAAAGTACCCTAAAAACCAAAATAGAGGCATTTATTTTTACAAAATTATCACATCTGCTTCTGAGTTTCAATTGTGTGCCTTTTTTTTTTTTTAATCCAGATCATAAGTATTATTTTCACAAACATTCTTGGGTATTTTTATTAGACTTAGAAGCTGGTCTTTGTCTTTGCTTAAAAGCACTGGAGCAACTGAAATGACTTATCAACTATCAAATAATTTCTGCTCACCATTGCAAATTTAGTCCAGATGAGCACAGCCAAAAGGCTGATGGATTGTCCAAATACCTTGATTTGAGTGTTTTTTCCAGTTTCTGGTCAAATATCAATACCGGAAAAAATTAAGCAGCACAATCAACATTAATTGCCATACTAAAGTGGTTACTTGTGCGTAATAGATATGTGTATTGATGTATCATCTTGGGAGCCAGGAATAAGCCATGTCTTGCTAGGAAAATGTGGAGGAAGCTTGATTGCTACTGATGCTTTTCCCGATCAATTGCTAAATTGGGAAGGGTTTGAGTTGTTGCTTTTAAGCAATAAAGTTAATAAGCATGGCTAGTCTATTCGAAAGGAACCTCACATCATTTCCTCAATCCATGCTGAGGTAACTGAAGAAAAATGACTGACTGTCAGAGATGACAGATTGTCCAAGATTGCCTCATCAAAGTTTATCAGAGCTTCATTATGTCTAGGCCAACTTTGTTAGGATGCTGTCAATAGCTGGAAATATTTGGATATTGCTATTGGTTTTTTTTAATAAATTGCCTGTGAGGTGTCCCCACAATTATGTTAGCCTTTTGTGCTTTCACATCCGTGTTCAGTTTTGGTCTTGCAGACCATTATTACTCATTATTTTTAATTCCCTGGATTTGCATTTATGGTTTCCTGAAAAGTAATTTATTGGAATTTATTCCAGGCAGCTGAAGACTGTAGTATGAATATAGGTAGCTGAAGACCTCCAGCAAGGCAGGCTCCTTAAACAAACACAGCATGGCAGATGGTCCCTGTCCTGAAGAGGTTACACTCTAAATAGTTTTCTTATCTCACTCTTCTTTCTTTGAGATGTTAGTACCTGATTAGTGCCTGGCTACCTGTTTGTGCAGCATAAGTGCTTTCAAAGGCACCCTCTCTGCAGCAGGCTCTGCAACTGAAAGTAGAAATGATGAGCAGGCAGTTTTCTGTCTTGCAACCATTTAAACACTGTTAAATAATAGCTTTTGACAAGCTGGTTTAGAAATCAGGTGCTAATTTTCTGCAAAAAGTCAGAGCAATGTGGAGTTATCACTGTGCTGGGGCAATCAAATTGTGTAGATGAGACTAAAGACCCACAGATTTCATTAGAGGTTAGTACCATGCATCACATTAAAGAAAAAAATTTTAAGCAGAATTATTTCTGCAAGAATGTCACCAACACTCTTGAAATAAAGTTAGATTTTCTCAAAATGATAAGTATCATCCATTTGTATGTTTCCTGCACTACAGTTCAAAAGGAGCATCCACCTTTGCACTTTTATATTTTATACAGGAGTTTACATGCCTATGTGATGAATGAAGTAGGGAAATTGTCTTTAGTATAAAGAGCATTGTTTAGAGTTTTGTATTATTGGTGTAAGAGTGGTTACATGTTGATGTGTTTTGAACGTAAGAATTCTGTGATTATTCTTCTTCCTTTCCTCCCTTTCCATCCCTCTTTCCCATCAGTTTCATACTGAAAATGTACTAAGCTTGTTGGAAATTTCGTCTAATTACAAGGATTGTGGATAGTGCTCACAGTGAATATCTGCTTGTTCCAGGGGAAGAATCAGAAAGCATTCCCAGCCTGGTCCTCAGGATCAGTGACCATTCTCCTGTGTCCAACAGAAAAAGCTGGGGAATCGTTGCCATTTCTTCTTCTACTGAAAACCTGCTGTGAAATCTCCAGGACAGTAGGAGTTTGGGGTGTTTTGGAGCATTTTTTTGCACACACACGCTTAGGCATCATGTGCTGATGGGAGTGGGTGGCAGCACTGCCTCCTCTCTGCACTGCTTCTCTGCACCTCACAGGCCTGGAGAGGCTGTAAACCTTCAGCAGACAGACTCCAGCCCGTATTGACATTTCTTGGTTCCCTACCTGGAATATTTGTTTTAATGCAGGCTGAATTTCTAGTTGTGGTAGTATATAATCAAGGGTGCCAAAGTGTCACACTGCCTTTACAGCTAGAGGCAGGGGTTGATTTTGGATCTGTTTGTATCTAAGACTTCAGGTTCATAAACAAAAGACTTCAGTCTTCTTGGACATTCCTGTTCTGCTTACTGAAACAGGTTTTATCAGTAAGTATTAACTTACTGTTTTACATCAAATTAGGTAAGTTGGCAGGTTAGCAGGGGTGAGGGGAGCTGGAATGAAGCTAATACTGTCTATGCCTTGCTGTGGTTGCAATAGATGGTGGTGGTGTATTTATTTGTTTATGCTAGAAAAGACAGATTGCACTTAGCTGTTACTTGTCCTCTCTTGGGGCTCTCCATGTGTCTGTATGGCTCCTGCGTCTCTCTGTCAAGTGTTTGAAGAAATCCTTGGGAAAGTGTGTTCAGGATAACAGGGATCAGTGATTTGGCAGAAGTTCCTGAAGGATCCTCCAAATCTTTGCAAGAAAAAAAGGAAAAATAACACAAAACACAAACCCCTTTCTATTCATTCCTCTCTGATTTGTTTCCTTGTCTCAACTCTTGTTCCAAAAGGCAAGAGGTGGTAGCACCCCCAACAAAGCTTCTTTTACAGCCTTTTTTTGGCATTAGTTATGAAAGGATTAGATGACTGACCTTTCAGCAGTAGGTAAAAGGAGAATAAAAAGGTCTGTATTCCTGACAGTGTTTGGAAGTGCCTGGTCTCCCTAGCTTTTATTTGCTCTGACTGTTGTATTCAGTGTGCTCTGGATGTGCCAATACTGTTAAGGCAGAGGACCAATCTTGTTGTCTCTGAGTGCTCCTGCCTGGAACTATGTTGAGACTGTTCAAGTTAGCAAACTCTCAACATACATCCGTCCATTGTGCCTCTCTGAAGTATATTCCTGTCCTTGTTCCAGCCCAGAAACCTAGTTATAAGCTTTACAGAGTTGTTTTCTGTTGAATATGTAGGAGATGGATTTTATTAGCAGAAAGAGTGTTTTAAGATGGTAAAGAGGTAGAGTGCAGTGAAAATCCTCCTGTGTGTTTGTGCACAGGGAATATTTCTTTGGAGTCTTAACAGTTTTACAATTTCTACATTATACTCATACTTCTTTTTCTGAGGATTAATGCTACTATATCCCTTGAAAAGTTATGCTGAAAGCTGCACAGAATTGACTTGAATTGACATGTACTTTTATTCTTTCTCTTCTTGTGAGGAAAAAGAAGAGATGTGTTTGCAAGGGAATACTGTGGTGTTGTTGGGCCCCATGCATTGCCAGTGACCAGGCCACATAGCCCTTGGACTTCTGAGAGGGAGAAGCACAGGCTGGGGGCAAAGTCTGACTGCAGATTGAAAAACGTCCCACAGCATTTGGAAGATCAATCCCAGGGAAAAGGGCCCCAAGGATAACAGTGCACATGCTGAGTCACAAGGGCCTTCCTGACAGGGAGTAATTGCAAGGCATTTTTCAGGACATGACACTTTTCTGGAAGTTAAACTTTTTAAAGGGGCCTCTAAAAATGAAGGCACCCAAATCTAAAAGTGGCTGGTAATGCTAAGGCACAGGACTTGTTGGTTTTGGCTGGGTTCAATATGTTGAAAGCAGAATCCATTGTATGTACACGTAAAGAACTTCTATACAGATGTATTTAATTCTGTTTCCAATTGTGTGAAAGCATGTATGCTTTTTAGTGAGTATTTGAATTACACGTGTTTAGAAAATTAGAGATTAGACTGTAATCTGGACACTTGTATTTCATGTAAATTACATTATAGTCAATTTAATATGACCTTTCTTATAGCCTTTATACTGTACTATCTCTTGTCTTTTATGTTAATCATTCCTTGCTTTGCTCTGAAGCACCAAACACCAGCAACAAAAGCCAAGTGTCACTGTGGCTGCCCACAATATTAATTATCATGATGTGCTTTTATTCCTGCAGTGAAGATGTTTGCAAGCGAGGATTCACTGTTATTATCGATATGCGGGGATCCAAATGGGATTTGATCAAGCCTCTCCTAAAAACCCTTCAAGAAGCCTTTCCTGCTGAAATTCATGTTGCCCTGATTATAAAACCTGATAATTTTTGGCAGAAGCAGAAAACAAACTTCGGCAGTTCCAAGTTCATCTTTGAGGTGAGAGCCATGTACAAATGAATTGAAGCATTATCTCTGATAAGAACTTTTCTTCAGGTAAAAACCCCTGTGACTGAAAGCAAAAAATACATCCAAGGGCAGGTGGCAGGAGTGTGCTGATGATCTGGCATCAGGTTGTTTGCTGAGCACTCTGGTGAAATGAGTTTTGCATTTCATCCCAGAGGTTCACATAATTCATTTTTTCTGAGGGATTTTTGTGGTATTTATTTTTGGTGATGTTGCATTAAGTATTTCCTTTGAATCTCATAGAAAATAAACCCAAAAACCACAACACCAAATTGGTCAAAGTGCTAAAGACGCAGTTTTCTAGATGCAAATGTATGAGTTTGTTAGTTTACCTCTAACCAACTTGCACCAATGGCTTTTTTTTTGGTTAAAGACATTTGCTAAATTTTCACCTTTTATTTCATTGAGATTTGCAGTTCATGGACAGCATTAACAGAAGTAACCAGTACATAACAACTGCATAATTAAGAGGAATTTTACTAACTTTGTTGTTGATGTAGACAAACCAGCTGTATACTCTGTAGCACTTCCTTTTTCTGTGAATTTCAGCTTCTTGCCCAAAAAGAAGCTGAAATTCAGGTGCATGAGGTGCTCATACATCAATCATGCCATGCCATGACTTAGTCATTGTGTTGTTTTTTAATAATTCACTGAGAAACACTTACATTGTTGGCTGTTTTACCAATCCATTAATTCAGAGAGACACAGAAATTTTGCATCTCTGGAACGCAGAAGAGAATTTGGCTATAGCTCTTAACGTTTACTGCAGTGGAAGACTGTATTTAAGTATATATTTAAGTTTTGTTGAAGTCAGTGTGATATAAATGTGTCCTTATTTTCAACCTGTTCTTGCAAGGACCCTTGAATTTCTGTGGGGAATTAGATTGGTGGTACTCATTAACACAATTTTAAATTATTATCACATTTTAAGTGCTTGTAAATTTTCACTCCTGTTTCACAAAATGCAATCAACTCATAAATTTTGCTTTGATTAAATAAGTCTTTACACTCCTTGGCACCTTTGAGGACAGATAAAGTAACAGAGTTCAAGTATGTATTTTTAGAAGATTTGTTTGGTTTTAAAATTAATAAATACCTTCTGGAGGCTTGACATCTATTTTTATTATATGGAATTGTTGTGATGATAGTAAAGAGTAAACTGTGACCAAGTTATGCTTCATGTTTGCAGCTCTGAGTCTGTATTGTTTAAAAAGCTCTGGATTCATTTGTTGTACATGCTGGAACACATTAAGGGTATTTTCATTTTGTGTGTGCTATCAGTGCCTTTGAGCCTTAGTCTGTCTGCAGGGCTGCTCACATGGATGTCCAATGGTTCACAGATTTTTGGGCTGGAGGAGGAGAGTCAGTGCTTTCACTATGTATTGGACCACCTGCAGACATAGAATCATAGAATGGTTTGAGTCCTTCAATTCCAAGATTCAAACAAAGACTTCCTAAGCTGTGGTCCACCCTGCAGTATACACACCACAATCAAGGAACTTCTATTGAAAGGATTATTTTAAGGCCAGATTTCTCTTTTGAGCTTAATGGAAGCATCATGTGTGTGCCAGGGCACTGTGGGACCCTTAGTAGACTCTGATGAGCTGGATTTTGGGGAGTGAGATTCTGGCACAGTGTTTCTGTGTCACAGTCCAGAGTGAAGCATGTACATAGATCTTCACCCAGGAAGAGAAGAAAAGTGTTTGTTTGATGTATGTGGATTCCAAAGTTTTCTGTCACTTTGACGAATGGACCAGGCAGCTTATTTAGCATTAATTCAGAGGTGCCTTCAAGACTACTTTCTTTCTCCTGCTGAAAGAGGCTAAATAGTGGACAACAATTTTAAAATTGATTTCAAAAAGAAGGATGAGCAATGCCTAGGAAACAGTAAGCACCTACCTGCCTTATTAAAACTGTTTTCATTAGAGTTTAAAGAACTATGTAAAAAAATCAAACCTGAATAGAGAAAATTTCTGCTGAATTTGAGGAATAAAAAGCCTTTCTACTGTCTCCTAATGTCAAATTCTCTGCATGATTTAGGGCAATGTTTCCATTAGCCTGACAGACTGCAGGGAGATGCCCAAGTGTTAGCCATGAAGAGGAGTATTTTCCTGACAGGCAGTTAAATTCTAAACTGAATTATCTTCAAGGTCTCAGTGTTCAGGTCAGGGGGTATAAAAATTTGAAAATGCTCTGAAGCAACACACTTACCTTCTCAAAGTTTGTTTGCTCTTCCCACTGCCCTCCCTTTTCCTCAAAGCAAGGAATATTGCAAGAACATTTTAATATAATCTTTCTCCTGAGCTTAAGTTCAAAACAATCTCAATTTTAATACATTGCAGAATGCCTAATATTTTTGGATGAATACAAATTGGAAGAAAAAGCCTATTGTTAATCTTTAACCAGTGGCTAGCCTACTATTTTGGATTTAATTTTGGATTATGGTCAGGATTTTAGGTGTTTTTCTTTGTAGATGAGTTCTATAAGAGTGCTGTGATTATTGAGTGCCTCCATTTCTGAAGAGCACAAGCTCTGACATTCTTTAGAGGCCTGATCTTCAGGGGATAGATGTGCAGTCACTGATGAAGAGACAAGCCTTTAAGGGCTGCCAGCTTGGGTGTTAACATGAGAGCACTGAAAATCACTAGTTACATATGAAATCCTATGCTCCTAATTTCAGAAAGTATTTTGTCTAAAACAAATGGGAAAAGCTATAATTTGCCGTGTCCTTAAACTGTAATCTGCTTTCCAGACACCCAGTGCTTTTCTCTATCACCAGTTACTGAGTGTGAATGAGTTAAAACCATTTCTCATTGATTGTGTATGATTCGTGAGCAGTACTTTCTATTGGCAATAAATTCTAGTTGTTAATACTTCAATGACATTTCACTTTCACATTGATTTTTAGCTTAATTACATTAGAAATTGCTAATATGAAAGAGTGGCAAAAAGCCAACTGGAATAATTTGGAATAAGAAACCCAGCTGTTAAGGCAGTTTGCAATACCTGCTTCAGTTCATGTACCTGACACTTCTGCTTCTGTGTAGCTGCTAGCTGGGATGTAACACAAGTACTAGAGTACTTGCAATGCCATGTACCCATTTAATGAACAACCATGTCCAGATATCCAAAAGCTGCAATAAGTCTTCAGTGTACAACTGGGCTGAGGAAATCTCTGGCAGAAACATTTTTACTACATGTTTTTGATAGCCAGGCCAGCTGAAAAAGATAGGCATTATTCCAGTAAATATCACATATTTTAATAATTATTATATACATTTTATATTTTATTTATATTTATTTTAAAAATTATTAAAATAAATAAATAAATGCAATTAGCCACAGTTTTCTGTCCAGTTAATGTATCAAAATTAAACACAGTCCTTGACATTCTTTACAGCATTCCTTCAATTTGTGTTGATGAGGAAAACACTCGCTCCATGTTGTTTCTGGGTTGTGCTGTTAATTCTGACTGGATGGTCCCTGATTTAAATGCTGTCCCTTTCCCTTCCTTAGACAAGTATGGTGTCTGTGGAAGGCCTGGCAAAGCTTGTGGATCCTTCTCAACTGACAGATGAGTTTGAAGGGTCCTTGGATTACAACCACGATGAATGGATAGAGCTGCGTGTCTCCTTGGAAGAGTTTTTCAACAGTGCCATCCATTTATTATCGAGGCTGGAGGATCTCCAGGAAATGTTGGCTAGGAAGGAGTTTCCAGTTGATGTTGAGGGCTCAAGAAGGCTGATTGATGAGCACACACAGCTTAAGAAAAAAGTGATTAAAGCTCCTGTGGAAGAACTGGATCGTGAGGGCCAGAGGTTATTACAATGCATAAGATCCAGTGATGGTTTTTCTGGTAGGAACTGCATTCCTGGAAGTGCAGATTTTCAAAGTCTTGTGCCAAAGATCACCAGCCTTTTAGACAAGCTGCATTCTACCCGGCAACACTTGCATCAGATGTGGCATGTCCGCAAGTTGAAACTGGATCAGTGCTTTCAACTCCGGCTTTTTGAGCAAGATGCAGAGAAGGTAATCTCTTCCTTTTTTTCATGCTTTCAACAAGACTCTACTGCAAGGGTGACTATTTTCCTTCTGTAAGTGGTAACATGAGTTGTTCATCACCAGTGTAAATCTCGTGTTGCCAGCAGATACACTTCATGTGACTCGTAAACCAAATTCACCCAGCTAACTGCTGGATGTAGAAGGCATAGTAATATCCAAGAGTAATTTTTCTGTGTTCCTTTTGGTGAAAGTTAATCTGATTTTCTGTCACATAATGAGTAGATTTGGTAGACGTTTGCATAAGAACCTGGCTTTTTTTTTTTCAAGCTTCTCTTAGTAAGCTTATGAATATATTTATCTACTTGTCACAGCACTGAAAGAAGAATGTTTTTCAGGTTTGAGTCACTGTTATTATTGTTTGCACTTCTTGGAGTCTATGGGAAATTTCAAGTATGGGTTTCAGGGAATTTACTTTAGAAAACTGTGTGGCACTGAAGCCTTGACTTTCTTAATGCAGAAGTGCTTGGCACCTTGTTAGGTGATTTTGTGAGAGGTCTTTGTTGGTACATTTAAAATTCCAGGCCACAGAGGTGGGGTATTCTCTGTGGAGGATCCTGAGCTCTCAGACTTGTGTCTATCTAGTCTGTATATCCATCAAAATGACCAGTCTCTGAGTCTCCTCTACTTAATGTATTATCCAGTTGTTTCACTAATGTGTCTGCCTGGACAGACCCAGGAGGGATTGCAGAAGAAAAGCAGACTCGTGCGCAGGGGGATCTCATGAGGATGATTTTTTTTAATCAGCTACTAGTTAGTGTTATTTTCAAACATCACTGAGAAGCACATATGCGTAAGGGCATCTCATGAGGATGATTTTTTTTAAATCAGCTACTAGTTAGTGTTATTTTCAAACATCACTGAGAAGCACATTGCTGAAACAAACTTAATCTTCAGTAGTGCAGAACAAGATACTTGACATTGGTTTTCAGTGCATTTGCTAAATATTTCTAAGACTTGCTAGGACTGAAAAAGCTCCATCATTGTATAATCAATCCTCCTGTTGGGAAAACCTTGAATTCAGATGAGTCCCTCTAAAATAAGAGTCACTGCAGAACCACTCAAGGATGCATAAGAGCAGAGTTTTAATTCCAAATGCTACAACAGTACCATTCTCCCTGTTCCTTCTGTGTCATATGCTATAAGAGGGCACTCGCTTGTGTCCTTCCCAGTAGTGGCTGTACTTCAGTCAGTACATCACTGTGGATTTTCAATTTCTTTGGGATTATTCAGATGACCACTGCTTATTAATATAATTTTATAATTTATTATTCTTAATATTCAATAATATTATTAGTGAATTATTAGTATTTAGGAAGTTATTATAATTAATACTTTTAGAAGCTGAAAGGCTCTCAGATCAAGTCAGTGTTTGAGAAGTCCTTGTTGCCAAGCACTGTTCTGTGGCATTGAAGGAGGTCTCCAGGGAGTTTACTTTCTGCACTGGCATGAAAGGATGGTGTGATACAAGTCCAGGCAATGTGACAGCAAAGCTCTTTGCATGTGTTATTCTGAGATTGATATGTGTAAGGTCTAGGCAAGTCAGAAAATACATGAAACTTTTGAGATGAAGGAAGAAGCAGTGAGAATGTGATTTCTGCCTTTGTAACACTGGCTGTCTTGAGCAATTCCAGTTTGACAAAACCAGGATTCTGCTCTTCTTTTTCTGCCTCACATTAACTAAACACACACTCAGCGTCTCCCTGCTTGGGCACTGCTTGCCTTTTCTTGACTTCTACATTTTCCCAAGGAATAGAACATATTTTCTTGTTTTATATTCCCAAATCTGTGCTTTTAATCTTCTCAGTTTGTGAGTCCCTAAAATTCTTCCCGGAAGGGTTTCAGACCCTGTAACATCACATGTCACACATGTAGACTGATGTAAAACATTGATGTGCTTTTCCTCTGTAGCTGCCTTTCTCAGGTCTCTGAAGTAGTCTGACCACCTCAGACTGGAAAGTACTTTTTCATAAAATGTCCAGAGCTAAATCCAGCCTGAGTGCTGTCTCCACTGGAGAAATAGCCACCAATGTGTCTGTGTATTGAATTTTAGAGTTTTCTGGTACCTTCATTTTCTCAGTTGCATTCTACTCAGGTATGGTAGCAGAGCCCAGTTACTCTTCATCTCCTGGAGACAGACACAGCTTTTTGTATAACCTGGACATGTAATTTAGTTCTAATCAAATGATAACTCTAATAGCCTGTGAAAGCTCCAACTCCAAGATAAAATCCTGAACATAAACAAGGTTTCAGGGTCTTTTAAAATATCTCTTTGTATTCATGGGATGATATTTCAGGAAACTTGTTCTAAATAAGAAAAAAATGGACAAGGACTTTCATTTTCTGGACATCTCTGATTTCAAAAATGTCAAGTGTCCTCATTGCCTGAAAAGTTCTTAAAAATGGGATGGGGGAAAAAAAGGGACACAAGGACTAAAACACACAGTATTTTAAGGAAGGTTAAATTTTGAACCCTTTGGTATTTCAGTACCCCAGATTTTAAAAGAAAATCAATTCACTTTTCTTCCTCCCAGAGATCCCCTGTACTGGAACATTTATGGCAGACACTGCCTGGACACAAAAAATATTTAAATTACAGGCATTAAAACTTACAGAAGTCTGTATATTTGTGTGCTGAACTACTCATATTATTGCCAAAATAAACAGAGGGGGTGGCAGTCACAGCCTGGGCTTCTCCCACTCAAATCAGTGAGAGAGAGCAGGGCTTTCTGTAGAGAAACTTTGTCCCCATTCAGGCCTTTAGGGTTTTACTTTCCTGTTCTGGGGCCAAGGGAAAGGAGAAGTGGGGCTATCACATAGGCGCAAGCAGTGCAGTGAGATTGAATCTCCAGATGGAGACTGGAAGCTCCTTGAAGCTCAAGTCAGCAGGCAGGTCAGCCATGTGGGGAGCTTTGGCAGAGGGGTGTGAGGAAGTTCACATGCTGTGCAGTGCTGACTGTAATGATCTGCTGATAAATAACACATTTCAGCTGCTGGCAAAGCCCTGACCCTCACTGTTCAACAAATTTATTCCTCGCCAGCTAATGGAGAAATACGTATGTACAGATATATATAATTTTGAAACTAGAACTGAGGCTTCAATGTGTTTTACTGGGTAAGAGGGAAAATATTTTTAGTCACCAGTAACATTAAAAAATGCGTCCCAGTCTAAATGGAATATTGTTTGAAACAAAAACCCCACAATCAGCGTAGATCCAAGTATTAGAACTATCTGAGAAATGATAATTGCTTGGTGGAAATCTGGACAGGGAGAAGAATTCAGGCAAGAGTCCACATGTTTTACACTTGAATAAATACCAAAAAAAGACAAAAATTATACTTACACTCTGTACTTTCCAGCTTTTCTGGAAATCATTTGTAACTGGCACCCAATTTGACTTTTGTAGGAATTTCCACATCATTTTGTGTTGGTTCCACACCAATTTTACTACCCCAACATGGATGTGAATGAAAACCATCTATCATGATGTAATCAGCGTTGTCCATGTCAAGTATAAACAATACAGTCACCAGCTGGACTGAGCTGAGGGTCTGCACTGTAAGCTGCTCACAGCAGAGCATGGAACACTGTGGGGTCAGCCCCAACGGGAGGCAGAGGGGCCTTGGAGTGTTCTCTCTGTCCTCACCTCCCCTTCTGCTTCCTGGCTTCCCACGCAGTCCACTACACAAAGGAGAACTCCAAAAGAAGGAGTTAGAAAATACCATGAGTGAATTTCATTGGAAGCTTGCGGTGGGAGAAACATTTTATTTGGATCAGGCTGGCTTTGTAGAAAGTCTAGTGGCAAACCACAGGCCACATCTAGTCTTCAAGGAGCAGTGAAGTAGCAGGCTTACGGTTAAAACCATCAGCCCCGTGTAAACCAAGGCTTCCCTTTGAAAAACACAGCTCTGCTGTGATTTTCCCTGTGGAGCAGGTGATGGGAAGCTGTGCAGGCTGCTGGGGCTGCCCTGGTGCTGCTGCTCTGCAGGTGTGTGCAGGGACAGGGAGTGGAAAGCATGGATAACTTACAGCTCCTACTCCACAGCAGCTCTAGCTCCCATTTCCCAGGTGCTGTGACCAGCCTGGAACAACAGAAAGAGTTCACTGAGTGCGAGAGTGATGGGAATGTGGTTAACAATGTCAAATTCATAGATCGGAGCAGGTTTGGAGGAGTGTGTAAGCAAATGGTTAAGAGGAATAGGGTGCAGTAACAGTTGCAGCAGTTCTCCTGCATCCTGCTCCCTGTGCAAGTGTGGGCAGTGAGACCACGGCACTGAGCAGACACTGCCTTCCTCCCACTGCCTTCCTCCCACTTCTGGCCCCTTCCTCAGTCAGGTCTACTTGAATAAGGGAACTGATGTATTATTCTATAGAGTAGGTGCTATTAAACTCAGGCCCCATGGCATGAAATAAATAATGTGACATTTGGTTTCTCAAGGAAGAAAATCACAGATATGTCAGCTGTACTTGAGTCCTGTCCAGTGTACAGTTGCAATTCCCAATGAAAGAATTGGAAAGACTCCTATTAATTGTCAGCAGCACATAATACCCATTAACTAAAGGTATACTCATTCTGAAATGCCAGATGAAATTTAGGAGTTCCTAATTTAGAACGTCACTTAACACCAGGCAGAGTTAATCTAGAAAAATAGAGAGAAGCTCTAGCTCAACAGCAAAGTCAGGAATATCCAAAAACATATAATTCAAGTGTTTGAGTCATGCTCATACTGGTTTTGGAGTGTTACACCTGCCAAGGGTTCATGTTCCTCAGAAGGAAGGAATGTTCTGCAAGCTACTCTGTCTAAAAAGGTGCAAAATGGCTTTGGTGGATAATAGAATACAAAATGTGGAAATTCATGCTGTGGTTTAGGTCGGAAAAGATGGCTTTAAAGAAGGAAACATTGATATCTTGATGTTTGAGAGAAAGGAAACTATCAGTACATTTGTGATTATGTGACACCCGCTTTAA